AATGTACAACGTTTTCTTCATTACCCATTTAAGCCGTCTCCAGCCATTATTAGTCTCAAAGTGGGTTCCTCGTCATCGAATTTAACGTTAGATTTATGTGTAGTCACAGGCTTACTCTCCTAAGCGTGTAGGCCTAGTTCTAAACTAAAGGCTAAGGAACGTCAGTGTATGCTAATTTAATTTTTTAAATGTCTCCCTAGTATTCCTTCTGTCAACAAGTTAAAATTCATAATGTTGTTATAGTTATACTTACAATTACATTTGTCATATATAGTAATATGTACATGGCCATTGCCAATATAATTATTAATCAACTAATTGTTATCAAATTATATTTATAGTAAATAAGTAATGTTAGATATTCCAATTTGAATTTCGAAATTATAAACATGGTGTGATTCTTCCAAGTTCCATCGATACTGTAGTATTGATACTAGAACTTTGCAGAAGTAGAAGAAGCCTTTGATGGTATTACTATTATTAGTATTACTATGTTAGATATCACTGTTAGTATTACTAATACTAGTAATAGTATTTGTAGTCTGCATGATGTTGGAATATTCTTAGATTGTGCAGCCTGTTACCAGAATTCTAAATAGACTAGTAGGTCTAAGTAATAGTCTGGTTTGGGTTAAGCACTAGGTAGAAAAGTTTTGCTCTTAGTCTGACTACTACTAAAGTATTAATGAATTTTATTGATCATATATATAATTTTTGTTTTGCTCTTCCTAGGTACATATGTACAGTAAACATCCAAATATTATATAAAGTTTACAGAAGGTAAATGTGAAAATCAATCTACTTTACCTTTATTTTGGTGCTTTAGTACATAACCTCGAGGTAGTTTTACCATTTGTGTACTTTACAAACCAGGTTTTTCACGATTATATCATATATACTCATTTTAATAAGTTTGTAGATAATAGCATATAAAGTTAACTTTGTAAAGGTTTTATTAAGTCATGAGTACAGAGTTGTTAAAACTAAAAGTTATTCTTGTTACACGAAGAAATAAACTATATTGAAATGTTGTAAAAGAAACATGATGAATTTAACAATAACTTCATTTATAGTAATTTCAGTGAAATTGTGGAACAGTTGCTATTCCTTAAGTCTTAAACACTGGTAATGTGTGATATGCCTAAGAAAACAGTGATAGGTGTTATGTATGTTGAACAACAATTGTAATACATTTAAAACAAGTTTCTATTCTTGATGACCAGCTATTAAAGATTAGATGTAACAGAGAAAAGGTGTTGATTATTAAACCAAAGCCAATTTCTAATTAATAGAGCTTGACCATAACTATTTTTCTCAAATTGTAAGCCTGTTCTCCTTTTAGAAAAAAAAATCCTTAAATTAATATTTTAATATTTCATTTGTTTATTTAAATATATTCCAAGTGGTTTAACTGGCAGTGTGAAAGGACTAAATGGTCTGTAATTTCCAGGGCAACATTTTATTGCCTCCTTTAATTAAAAATAAGATTAACATCAGCAACTCTTCAATCCTCATTCTTCAAGCACCTGCTTACTGTTTGTTGAGATGTCACAAATGAAAAAGAGGCTTACATCTCTGACCTATGACCTCCTTTAAAACTGTGTGTGGGCCTGTTGTTTTATCTGTTTTTAGTCCAAATCGTGCTGCTTACCACCAAACGATTAATATCCACATGATTCAATAATTGTTTTGTGTTCCAAAAATAAACAAATTAGTTATCCTTATAGTAAAAATATTCTTGTTGGGTAGTAACTAATACATTACTGTTTTCCATTTGCAGTTGATGTCATATTTTCTAAATTTTAATAGTTGTGTTATGAGTTAGCTAAAAACATCTCGACTAAAATGCTGGTTTACAAGGCTCAACATTAACTTTGTAGGACAAATAAGAGTAAGTTTTAACTTGCATTTCTGAACAAAATGCTTCCTATGGGCAATATAATTTACTTTTCATTACTATGAGCAGTGCAAGTTATTTTTATGAAGGTCTTTCATATTTAGCTGTAGTGCTGGTAAGTTTTGGATGTATGTTATTTTGCTAGTATGGATACTTGGTCAAATATCACTATTTCACTAGGAGTACACAGATTTTTTTTTCTTTTTTAAATCAAAGTTTTAAAGGTTTGCAAACTTTTTACAACTTTGCTTTAAAGGTTTTGGGGCATTTGTGATGTGAGGAGGAGGGAAAGTAATGGGATAAGACCAGTTTTCACCCATAATACAAATAATGATCACATTTTTTTTAATACCCAGTTTGGCCATCTTTTTCCATTGTTTGTAAGAGTTAATGTTAGTTCATCATGCATATTAATTTTTTTTGCATTGTGACCTAGCAAAAAATATGGGCTTTAATAGCTGTTACATTTCAGCAAAGGGAAAAGATTGTTTTTGTTAACATTGTAGTTGACCATATCAGTGGTAGTTTCTGGTACATTATGCAAGATGTACCTTATGTAAATAATATTCCCAGTTCTGGCAAGTCACAAATTAGAAGAAAATGTGTGGGTTTAGTATGACATCATGTATTATTCACCTAGAAATAAAGACAACTAGTGTTAGAAAGTATTATCCATTCATTCTTCAGTATTTATTGTATGCCCCATCGTGAGTATAATTTATGCAAAACCAAAGTGAGAACTAGAATTTTTTCACTTAAGATGTGAAGAAAACAGACTGACATGACTGAATTGTTATTGAAGATTATATATATATACACACACACACACACACACACACACACACACACACACACACACACACACACACACACACACTATAGTAGCACCTAGTAACTAAAATAGTAGTAGAACGAAACCGAACCGTAACGGAAAAACCCTAAAACTTTATTTTAGTTAAACGT